ATTTTTGGATGACTAAGAATTGACTAAAATTTGAGTTCTTTATGGTGGCTACTGTTCTAGGTCCAAATACACGGTGAGTCTTTATTTATTAATTTCCTCTCATTTCTCTGTTCACGATTCATGCCAAGAATCCAAAGTCAAATTTTTTTTTTAGTCAAAAAAGGTTGAGAATATATTATAAATTAAATAGTAAAATATATATTCAAGTTGTATGTAGTCTAAAGAAGAAGCTACCTTATGGTACTAATTACAAAAGAATTTACATCTCTTACAAATGAGTCATTTAATGTGCAAAGACTCAACTTTAATTAGAGATTATATGACTAATCCTTGTAGGAGACATTAACAAAGCTAGGATGTATGTTTATGAACAGAAATATCTCTTGTACTTCAATTTAATAAAAAAAATTTGATGATAAAAAAACAAAAAAAAAAAAAGAAAAGAAAAAGAAAAAGTAAAAGAAAACAGAATTACCAATGTAGTAAGGTCACCCTATTAAGCATCTTTAACTACTAAATCGCACCCTATCATGCCACATGCCAGCTTCAAGAGAGAGCTTATTACTAACAAGCAATAACCCCTATCTACTGCGAGTCAGGCATATATAGAGAATTCATCCTCCAACGTTTGGGGGATTCAAGTTCCCTTCTCCCAACGCCAGAGCATCAATACTCTCGCCCATCACCTCCAATTCCTACTTCTCCAAACATTGGCCTCCTCCAAACAAAATTTCTGTTTTCAGGTTACTGGCAAGAGTCAAATCCACTGATGAAACAAGTGCTGCCTCAGAAAACCGGCAGGAAGGAAGCTATGGGCAGTAATCATCCTTCGCTTGCTGTGCAACCAAACCACCAAATGAAGATGAAGTCAGTTACGGTGTTGAAATTCATGGCCACAAGAAGGCATAACACTCAAAGCAAACTTCGATCAAAACACAAAATCCATGCTACCCACGATCAAGTAGCCACCAAGGAGAGTCCCACCCGATATTGGTTTTTGGTTTTATCAAGCCTTACTATCCTCAATTTTGCAATCGTCCGGATCAAAACAGCCCACATCACCAACCCTGATGCCGCTTTAAGCCCTATGGTAGCACTTCAAAAACTACCGCCCTCCCCCAAAGGATTCCTTCTCCAAACAAGCCAAAACCCTTGTTGTTGTTTTTTTCTTTTTTTTTTTCTTTTTTTGGTTAATGTTTTGAAAAGAAAGAAACAGAACAAAACCTAAAATCCAACCCTTTTGGTCCCCTGCAATAACAGAATATATCTTCACATAAAAGGAGAGATTTCATTAACCTTTTTCATTAATTCAAAACGGGAAATAGCCTTTGCAACTGAGATATGTGCTAAATATCGAATCTTTTTGGATATCACATATAGGAACACTTGTTCTTATCTTTATGGGTGCATGCTGATGTAAGTGAAAACCATACGGTTTTTTTTCATGCCCACAGTAATTACAGATTCTTCTAGTATTTTCCTATATCTTCCTCTACATATTCCTCACTCTCGTGGAGGCACAAAACAGCACCAACGCACAACCAAATCTGGATAATATGTACTCCTACTTCGGCACCTCCACAGTGATAGTAGTGATTGTGCAAGAAAATTTAACATACGGACGTTAAGCAGCCAACTTAAAATCATTTGTCAATAAATACATAAATTATATCATCTTATGGTTGAACAACATAAATTTCTTTAAGGACTTCCTCAATTGACAAACGCGTTTCTCTCCCTTATTGCTATAGCCAGGGGTAGTTGCATACAAACTTCTTCAAGGTCTCCATGGTGAAGATAGTTGCATATAGATTTCTTCATCAAGGTCTCCACGGAGGAAAGCATTATTTACATTCAATTGATATAATTCCCAATGGCGCGCAAAAGCAACAAGAAGTAAACAATGACTAACTTGGCAACTAGAGCAAAAGTTTCGTGGTAATCTATGATGAAACTTCTAATATGGTGAAGAAATAAAAAATATGTAGCTAGAAACATCATGATAGCATAGCAATAAAATGAACAAAATAAAAGATAAGTGAAAAAGAAAGGAGAACATGATATTACATGATTTAAAATAATGTTAAGATGTCATGATACATCAAGTTCTCCTAATTCACATTGGCTTTGTACATTTATTTTTTTTTTCATTATTTTCTTACATATAAACAACTTATTTATAGAGTGAAAAGATACATAATATAAAGAAATAACAATTAATTAAAAATATCCTACTTATGAGAAATATAATCAATTTTAAACATTTGAAATTAATTAATTGCTAATTAAACTGATTGCTTCTTGATTGACCCATCAACTTAGTGGTGTGATATTCCTTCTAAAATCAGGTCAATCATTGCGCATTATTTGATCCTCTTCTTTCTTCCTTTTATAATAAGATATAAGGTCAATCATCCTGTGATTTTATCCTATCTACACTCAAAATTGGGGTCTCCTTTATTAGCCTTAAAGGAATAAAGCCCATTTTGCATTTAGGAGTTTTTCTTTTTATGTATGATTTTCCTAACCAGTCTTGTTGGCTTTGTAATTATAGAGATCAGTGAGTTTTCTGTCAACAGAATTTTATTTAAACCTCTTAACTTATTTTATGGTAATGTGACTTCTCGACTCGTGCCCCTAACTTTCCTCATTGCTTTCATGTAAAGGGCCATTTACTGAGGATGATGGATGCATGGAATTGGATGGGTTTTTCCATCTCTAGTACAAACCAATGTGGCATCAACATCAAGGCCACATAGCCATAGAGGCAAGTTAGCTCAGGAGGAGAAATCACCACTTAATCCAATTTCTGTTTTCCTGTCAAGAAAATAAGATGTTAATGAAACAACTAGTTGTTAATGTTTTTGTAGCTCCTAGGTACCTGTTCGAAAGCTAAGAGAATGGTTTAGAAGGAGAAAATTTGAGTTCTAAATGTTATGGTTTTGCTACCCGTTTGAGCCCTTCTACCCTTTGGCTCTTCCTTTATTTTTTGTATTTATTTTTAAAAGTGTCATTTTTTTTTAATTTTAAATTGTACAACAACAATTTATTCTCTCTCCTTCTTTAACGTATTCCACTTATATGTAACTTAAATCGATAGCCTTTCTAAATTATTGAATTAATTTTATTTTAAATCTGACTATTGAAAGGAAGGACTACATTAAAATTACTCCATATCATTTTTTTTTATTAGTTTTAATCAATGACAATAGTATACTTTAGCCGTCAGGTCAACTAA